TTTTTTTTTGAGATGATCTCACTCTGTCACCCAGGCTGGAGTGCCATGGCACAATAATCTCGGTTTACGGCCAGGTGCGGTGGCTCACGCCTCTAATCCCAGCACTTTGGGAGGTCAAGGCAGGTGGATCACGAGGTCAGGAGTTCGAGACAAGCGTGGCCTACATGGTGAACCCTTGTCTCTATAAAAATAAAATAAAATAAATAATACAAATAAATAAATACAAAATAAAAATAAAATAACCATGGCTTACTGTAACCTCGACCTCCTAAGGCTCAGGTTATCCTCCTACCTCAGCCTCTGTAGTAGCTGGGACTAGAGGCGCATGCCACCACTCACACTTAATTTTTGTACTTTTTGTAGCAACAGGATTTCACCAGGTGGCCCAGACTGGTCTTCAACTTCTGGACTCAAGTGATCCACTCACCTCAGCCTCCCAAAGTGCTGGCTGGGATTATAGGCATGAGTCACCATGCCAGGCCTTATCTTCATTTTTTTTTTTTTTTTGAGTTGGAGTCTTGCTCTGTCGCCCATGGTGGAGTGCAGTGGTACAATCTCGGCTCACTACAACCTCTGCCTCCTGGGTTCAAGCAATTCTCCTGCCTCAGCCTCTGGAGTTACTGGGATTACAGGCACCCACCACACTCAGCTAATTTTTGTGGTTTTAGTAGAGAAGGAGTTTCACCATGTTGGTCAGGCTGGTCTCAAACTCCTGACCTCAAGTGATCTGTCCACCTCGGCCTCCCAAAGTGCTGGGATTACAGGCGTATGGGCCACCAGCCTTATCTTCATTTTGAACATTCCAGATTATAACCAACCTGAATTAATTTTGTAGTATGATGTGTGGATATTTTTTGGTCTTTTTTTTTTTTTTTTTTTGAGACAGGGTCTCACTCTATCACCAAGGTTGTAGTGCAGTGGCGCGATCTTGGCTCACTGCAATCTCCACCTCCTGGGTTCAAGCAATTCTCATGCCTCAGCCTCCCAGTTAGATGGAATTACAGGTGCCCATCACCATGCCCACGCCCAGCTAACTTTTGTATTTTTAGTCGAGACGAGTTTTTGCCATGTTGCCCAGACTGGTCTCAAACTCCTAATCTCAAGTGATCTGCCCACCATGGGCTCCCAAAGATATTTGTCAATTCTATTTGTCAAAAATATTTGTCATCACTGGGCACAGTGGCTCACACCTGTAATCCCAGCACTTTGGGAGGCCGAGGCAGGTGGATCACCTGAGGTCGGGAGTTCGAGACCAGCCTGACCAACATGGTGAAACCCCGTCTTAAAAAAAAAAAAAAAGAAAAAAAGAAAACGGTGTCTTGCTCTGTTGCCCAGGCTGGAGCGCAGTGATGAAATCTCAGCTCACTGCAAACTCCGCCTCCCGAGGTCAAGCAATTTTCCTGCCTCAGCCTCCCAAATAGCTGGGATTACAGCTGCATGCCACCACCTGGCTAATTTTTGTATTTTTGATAGAGACAGGGTTTCACCATATTGTTCAGGCTGGTCTCGAACTCCTGATCTCTGGTGATCCACCTGCCTCAGCCACCCAAATTGCTGGGCCCCAACACATGTTTTTCATTCAATATATATTGATTAAGTACTTTTTCCCCCGCCGCCCCCTACCCCCACCCCCCAAGGTGGAATTTTGCTTTTGTTGCCTAGCCTGGAGTGCAATGGCATGATCTCAGCTCACTGCAACCTCCGCCTCCTCGGTTCAGGCTACTGCCCTGCCCCAGCCTCCCAAGTGACTGGGATTTCAGGCATGCACCACCATGCCTAGCTATTGTTTTGCATTTTTAGTAAAGATGGGGTTTCTCCATGTTGGTCAGGCTGGTCTCTGACTCCTGACTTCAGGTGATCCACCTGCCCTGACCTCCCAAAGTGCTGAGATTACAGGCCTGAGCCACCATGCCTGGCTTGATTAAATACTTTTTAAGTATTTTTTTTTTTTTATGAGGAAGCCCTTCTAGTTTAAGGTAATGGCTGAATATTTGAAATTTCACATATTTAATTGTACCTAAGTAACTGTTTATGTGTTACATTTCTCTTGTTTTTATTTTTATTTTATTTTAGGTAAAAAAGAGATGAACCAGGTGCAGTGGCTCACGCCTGTAATCCCAACACTTTGGGAGGCTGAGGCAGGCGGATCACCTGAGGTCAGGAGTTGGAGACCAGCCTGACCAACAAGGAGAAACCCCGTCTCTACTAAAAATACAAAATTAGCTGGGCATGGTGGCACATGCCTATAATCCCAGCTACTCAGGAGGCTGAGGCAGGAGAATTGCTTGAACCCGGGAGGTGGAGGTTGCAGTGAGCCAAGATGGTGCCATTGCACTTCAACCCGAGCAATAAGAGTGAAACCGTGTCTCAAAAAAAAAAGAAAAAAAAAAAGGAGATGGGATCTTGCTGTGTTGCCTAGGCTAGTCTTGAACTCCTGAGCTCAAGTGATCCTCCAGCCCTGGCCTTCCAATGTGCTGGGATTACAGGTATGAGTCATCTCACCCGGCCAACATATTTTTAACAGAATTGGTGCTGCATGTATAATGTTGAAAAAGGAATACTGGCTGGGCACAGTGGCTCACGCCTGTAATCCCAGCACTTTGGGAGGCTGAGGCGAATAGATCACCTGAGGTCAGGTGTTTGAGACCAACCTGGCCATTATGGTGAAATCCCATCTCTACTAAAAACACACAAAAAAAATGCTCTTCCCGTTCTCCATCGTGGTGCAGGATCAAGGTGAAAAGGAGAACCCTATGTGGAACTTGGCATCCACAAGCTCTGTCTCAACATCTGTGTTGGGGAGAGTGGAGACAGACTGACCCGAGCAGCCAAGGTGTTGGTGCAGCTCACAAGGCAGGCTCCTGTGTTTTCCAAAGCTAGATACACTGTCAGATCCTCTGGCATCCAGAAAAATGAAAAGATTGCTGTCCACTGCACAGTTCGAGGGACCAAGTCAGAAAAAATTTTTTTTTTTTTTTTTTTTTGGCAGAAGAAATCTTGGAGAAGGGTCTAAAGGTGCAGGAGTATGAGTTAAGAAAAAATAACTTCTCCAATACTGGAAACTTTGGTTTTGGGATCCAGGAAAATGTCGATCTGGCTATCAAATATGACGCAAGCATTGGTATCTACGGCCTGGACTTCTATGTAGTGCTGGGTAGGTTTCAGCATCACAGACAAGAAGCGCAGGACAGTCTGCGTTAGGGCCAAACACAGAATCTGCAAAGAGGAGGCCATCTGTTGTTCCAGCAGAAGCGTGATGGGATCATTCTTCCTGGGAAATAAATTCTCTTTTCTATCCAAAAGGCCAATAAAAAGTTTTCAGTGAAATATAAAAAAAAAAAAAAAAATTAGCTGGGCAAGATGGCAGGTGCCTGTAATTCCAGCTACTCCAGAGACTGAGGCAGGAGAATTGCTCGTACCCAGAAGGCGGAGGTTGCAATCAGCTGAGATAGCGCCGTTGCACTCCAGCCTGGGCAAGAAGAGCAAAACTCTGTCTCAAAAAAAAAAAAAGGCTGGGTGCAGTGGCTCACACCTGTAATTCCAGGCTTTTGGAAAGCCAAGACAGATTAATTGCTTGAGCTCAGGAGTTCAAGACCAGCCTGGGCCAAATGGTGAAACCCAGTCTCTACAAAAAATACAAAAAAGTAACTGGCCATGGTGGCATGTACCTGTAATTCCAGCTACTAGGGAGGCTGAGCTGGGAGATCGCTTGAGTGCAGGACGTTGAGGCATGATGGTGCCGCTGCAGTCCAGCCTGGGCAACAGAGTGAGACTCTGTCTCGATAAAGAAAAAGAAAAAAAACCCTGTAATACATATGAACAAAACTATTGGGCTAGAGAAAAGGGAACAAATACATCTACTTGCAGGTTAAAAGGAACTTAAGCCTCCTTTCATTCCAGCACACCCCACTCCACTGTCCTGGCAGCAGCACGTGTGGCCATTGGAGGGGCTGCTTGGCCCCAAAAATGTCCCCAGCCAGTCTATGTCTTTGTCAGCCCATGGAGCTTACACCTAGTTTTCTTCCTTCCTCTCCTTCCCTAGTCCATCCCGGCACTAGGTCAGACAGTCCCTTTTGTGGTGCAGGAAAGAAAGCAGAAGGGGTTTGAGGTTCCTACGCTGCAGCATAAGAGGAAGGAGTGGGGCCTGCATTGACCATAAAGGACATGAGGGCCACGTTGTTCCACTGTAATGTCATGGAGGGGGTGGCCATTGTTTGTCCCAGCCTGGGGCTTTCCCTCTAGTTTCCTATTTGTAGTTACTGGAATTAAACATATATATTTTCCAGAATAAATCAATAAATAATCCACTGGCAGAAATCAGAGAGGTTTAATCTGGATCATTAAGAATGAATTGGCCTGGTGCAGTGCCTCACACCTGTAATCCCAGCGCTTTGGGAGGCTGAGGCAGGCAGATCACCCAAGGTCAGGAGTTCGAGACCATCCTGGCCAACATGGGAAAACCCCGTCTCTACTAAACATACAGAAATTATCCAGGCATGATGGCAGGTGCCTGTAATCCCCGCTACTCAGGAAGCTGAGGCAGGAGAATCACTTGAACCCAGGAGGAAGAGGTTACAGTCAGTCAAGATCATGCCCCTGCACTCCAGCCTGGGGGATAGAGCCAGACTCTACCTTAAAAAAAAAAAAAAATTAGTTTGGCATGGTGGCGGGGGCCTGTAATCCCAGCTACTTGGAAGGCTGAGGCAGGGAGAATTGCTGGAACCTGGGAGGTGGAGGTTGCAGTGAACCAAGATCACACCATTGCACTCCGTCCTGGGGGAGAAGAGCAAAACTCTGTCTCAAAAAAACAAAACAAAACAAGGGCCAGGCGCAGTGGCTCACGCCTGTAAACCCAACACTTAGGGAGGCTGAGGTGGGCAGATCACCTGAGGTTGGGAGTTTGAGACCAGACTGACCAACATGGAGATACCCTGTCTCTACTAAAAATGCGGCTCACGCCTGTAATCGTAGCATTTTGGGAGGCCAAGGTGAGCGGATCACCTGAGGTCAGGAGTTCAAGACCAGCCTGGCTATCATGGAGAAACCCCATTGTTAAAAAATAAATAAATAAATAAATAAATAAAAATACAAAAATTTAGCTGGGCATGGTGGCACATGCCTGTAATCCCAGCTACTTGGGAGTCTGAGGCAGAAGAATCACTTGAACCTGGGAGTGGAAGCCGAGATCATGCCACTGCACTCCAGCCTGGGCAACAAAAGCAAAACTCCATCTCAAAAAAACAAAACAAAAAATCAGAAATTATGAATATCCTGCTGCTTTACACCCAGCATTCACCTGTACGGCACACCAGCTTCCCAACGCAAAGAGCATGGGCAGGGGGCACTTTAATTATGGCTACCACTGATTCAGCCCTTTCAGGTTCCAGACACTTTCTTCTTTTCCTTCTTTTTTTTTTTTTTTTT